TCTCCAGGGTCTTGTGATTTACATTCAGATGCTTGGCAACTGATTCATATTTATGACGGCCATAGTGTCCCAGGGTCATGTGAAGTGACCAAAACCTGCTGCAACCACCCATCAGACGGGGGGAATAAAAACCAAACACCCCCCCACCCCACCCCCGCTGCCAATCCTCAACAGAAATGCTCACAACAATGAAAACCTTGGACAGGAGGAAGAGCGCCACCGGGTGGGCAGGCAGGTGTCTTGCTCAGCACTTTTTCAGTGCCATTGTTACTTCCAACAGTCACTAAGCGAACTGTTGTAAGTCGAGGACTATCAGTACTTCATTGCTTTTTTCCTTTTTTTTTTTTTTGGTCATCAAGTTTTTGACACCTTGCTAGGCGACTGGTGGTACTCGGATATTGCCATATCCTAAAAGTGGTACAATGGGTGAAAAGATTGAAAAGCCCTGTGCTAGGGAGTGCTGCTAAAATCGGATAAGCAATTTCAGAACATGTACGTCCAACTTGTCTGATGGACATTGCCTACAGTAGCAAAGAGGGAGATTGTGCTCTTGGCCTTTTGTAAAAACACTTTTTTTTTACAAAAAAAAAAAAAGAGAGACCGTCAGAATGATCTATCTACAAAGGACTGCTGGATGATAAATGAAAAGAGCAGTTGGTTTTTTTCCCCTATCCAGAATCCAGAACTATTATAGAATCTTATCACCGCTTTTCTCTATCTTGGTGGCCTTCAGATGGCTTGGACCTCAACTCCCATCATGCCCGGCTAGTGCAATGGATTACAATATGAGGAGAGGACCAACATTAGCTGGGGAAAGCTGACTTAAAAATTCCAATGTTATGATAAATACGCTGTATATGGCCCCTACTAGAAGAGGGTCTGAAACTTTTTCTATTCTTCTCACCACTCACCCACCCAAAACAAAACCAGTTACTTGCCAATTGCCAACAGAATGAAACAGTCATCCAGAACCAGATTTTATTGCTCTGATTCTGACCTTGGGAGTCTGGGTGGACTAATCACTAGAATGGAGATTTTTTTTTATCTTGGAATACAATGTCTCTCCATTTACTAGGTGACCTTGGTCAAGTTCCCTTCCGACTAACATGATCCATGCAGTCTAATGTTCTCTTTTCAAACAGGAAGGATTTTCTTTTCTGATATTTACCTTTACCTGTCTTACCTATTTACTCTGTGCCAATCTTCCCTAAGAGAATTCTGCAACCTTGTAACTCCCAATTAGCATAACCACAAGCAACTGGTGTAGTAAATAGTTTTGAAAATCTGGACTGCAAGAGCTGTAAAAAAAATTAACATGGTACTGGGAAAAGGCGTAAGGGTTAAGATATCAATGTGATGATAAATTGTATCCTGACAATTTTGAATTTACCAAGTCTGAGACATTACAAGGAAACTCATTTTGCTACAGTAGATAAGGTCACACTGGGCTCATAAATGTGACAGGATGATGTGTCTTATGAACTGGTTCTCTATCAACATCAAGAAAAAAGTGGGCAACATTATTTCACATGGCCAGAGTTTAATGCTATATTATAGACTGAACTTTTTTCACTTTCATATCTAACAGGCATAAATTTCTTTCTTCCTATTTATCTCCCCCCCCCCCCTTTGTTTTACTATTTGTATCTCTGGAAGCAAATAAAAATTATTTAAAACCGAAGGGCACTTGACTAGTTTATGTTTTTTGTGTTTTCAAGCAAAGTTTAATTATCCAGGCCTATCATTTAATGACTTTTAAAAGTACTGTTATAAGAAGAGAAACATTTCAAAGCTATATTAACCAGGAAGCTAATGCAGACCTCAGGGTCAGCTGCCTATCAGCTGTCTAGTAGAAAGCTTGGTGATCAAATATGGTCAGTGCCCCTTCAGTATTTTGGATGGATCCATCTCCTTGCTAGGCCCCAGGCTTCAAGCAGGCCTGATTTCCAGGACCAATCTCTGTGATACCTTTTCTATTAAGTTACTTAATTATTTAAATAATTAAATTTAGAGACTACCCAACTCCTAACAGTTCTGGATGGTTTACACTTTAAAAAAAAAGTAAAAGTGAAAAGAATCATAAACTTCCAGAGGGGGGAAAAAAATGTGCATAGCACCCCAAAGAAGCAACTGGTGGGATTTATCAGTCATCATACCTCAAGGCTAGGGAGAACAGCCAGGACTTTGGAATATTATCAGAATGGGAGTCATACAGATTTCTGGGGGAATGTTATTCCAGAGGGAGGGTGCCATGATAGAGAAACGTATTTTGTTATAATCTCACACCACACTCATAACCATGGCCTGATGATGGGCATTTATTCTCTATTATGAATTGGCATCTTAGGTAGTCAAATACAATATAATAAGGAAACAGCCCAAATTTGTACAGGCCAGAAGTATCACTAACCATTTTCTAGCACAAAATGTCACAGGGATAGCTAAACCATAATTCAGGAGAACAAGAAGGAAAACAAATGGGACCTTCAAAGCAAAGGCGAAGACTCCAAATGGCTTTTTTTTTTTTTTTACCTCAGAGGGCCAAAAGACCTCTTCACTTATATTTGTCAATGCTATTGCTTTGGCAACAGACCAAATGAGATGAGTCTGTGTTGCTATTTAAAAGTTAGGCAGGCTGGAATGGAAAGTTCTTCAAAGTTCCAAACTTTTTAAGTGAAAGCTTTTTAAAGGTTAAAAACAACAGCTTGCATACTGTCAGGGATACAAGAACCGACTGTCTGGCTTCCATCAAGATGTAGGCAGTGACATTCTATGCTCACTGAAGACTCTGAACTACCTTTAAAGGCAAATCCTATGTAACAGAAATTGCACCAGCCAAGTCTGGAGATTATTCTAAATGAGAGGAGATCAAACCTTGCTAGATTGGTTACAAATAGCATAAGTTTCAAGCTGGTGAAAAGTATTATTGTTCATCTACACTCTGAAACATAGAACAAAGTATCATAAGACTGGAAGGGACCTCAGAGGTCTTGGAGACCTTGTACCATTCCTGGTTATACAAAACTTATATAATAAGCCAGCTACTATGATAATCTTTCTTTTCCTATATCTAAAAACAAGTAAATAAAATAAAAATAATTAACCTACTGTATAATTGAGAAGCTTTTTGCACCTATCTATAGGAGTTGTCCATACAACTACCAGAAAGTAAAATAACAAAAGATTCTTTTTCTTACATAGGTACTAAGAACAGCTGAGCCAGATTATTCCAGATTTGGCAGAGTATTTCTCTGCAGGAGTATGTCCCTTGACAGGTCCCCAATCAACAAAACTGAATCTTGCAGGCCCATGTTTGTACTGCATAACATTCAATAAACTGGAACATCACAAGGAGAATTTGTTTAAAGATCCACACCAGTATTTCTCAACTCAGCCTCTAAGATTTGTGGACTTCACCTCCCAGAATTCCCCAACTAGCATGCTGGCATCTCAGAGGAAGAGAGACAACTCCCATTTCCAAATCTTTCAGTTTGGTTCCAAAGGCTCTGTTCCTAAGGACTGGAATGAGAGCACAAAGATGATAAATGCCTTTGAACTTCTTTTCTGTTCATCCAAAGCCTTTATCAAAACTTTATTACTTCTTCAAGCTTTCTCTTGACTTTGAGGTAAGTATACCTGCAAACCACAGAGGTTTTTTTTTCCAGATCAAAATAGAATGTGCTTAATCAATCAAACTGAAAGCCATTTTGATATGTCCCTCACAGATTATTTTTGGCTTCATTTCTGTGAGAGTTGAGGGGAAATAACCAACAGCGATAACAAAAATAAGGACAGAAGCATGTCTTGACCTCTGGGAAAGAAGAAAGTATTAGGAAGAGACCTAGACTGACTCTTCCCTAATTCAGTGAGCTATACAGAGAGCAGGATTAAAAATCACAGACTTGATTGATATTCTGATAATATAGTCTCAGTATAGTATCTTAATAAAGTATAATTCTAGTCTCCTATGGAGTCGATTTCCTGACCTAAAAACTTTGAAGAGTTAGCAATTTCAGATATACATATAGTAATCTCCTTTGAAGAAGATGAGAAGGTGCCTACACAATTAGCCTTGGCATAAGTAGCTTTTGAAAAGTAAATTGCAGTCATAGAAGTCCATTGAAGATTAGGAATCCAGAGGACAGGACAGGGAAGGTTAAACTTTATCATCTGCAATAGTCCTTATCAGAAATATGGAGGTTTTTTTTTATTACAGTATATTTATTAGAATAAAATTTCTTAGTCTCATTTAAATAGCATTGATAGGTAAAGGGGTGGTTAAATAAGAAACCCTATGCAACTAGGATTCTAAACAAGATCAAGCCCACCACATTTCCTATTTACTTGTATGAATCATTAATAAAATTGTTAGTTATGTGAACATCATCTTGGCATTGGTTAAATGATTAACTAAATGATCCCCATGCATGCAACAAAACCAAAGAAAGGGAAACCACTAACCTGAAATATCATGATATCAAATATCATATCATTCAAATACCTTGAATAATCATCTATTCCATTTTACTGACTTCCCCTTCTTCCCTATCACAGATGGATCTTGTTCTTTAGAGGAAAGAATATGTATAATGTTTGAGGGAAGCATAGACCTTAAAAATATATCTTGAGAAGAGTCATCTCATGACCTTTGTACCCTTAAAGAGGATGCAAAATCTAGTTGACATCTGTTCTGCAAGTAGATCACCCTATACCAGGGTCTTCACACTTGGCCCTTTTATGACTTGTGGACTTCAACTCCCAGAATTTCTCAGCCAGCATGCCTGGCTGAGGAATTCTGGGAGTTGAAATCCACAAGTCATAAAAGGGCCAAGTTTGAAGACCCCTGCCCTATACTCTATGTCCTCCACACAGGGAGTAGAGCCCTTTAGTCCAAAACCTCTTTAAGACTAAGAAACTCCAAGTGGTTGTATTGCCAGTTACTCTATGTATGCAATTCTCTGTGAACCAGTGTTGAGTCTATATTGTTCTATGCTCTAGTTCCCCTCAGGTTCTTGACTCCCTCCCCCCCCCAATAAACTGCTTCTTGGCTTCTGAGCTTTCACTAACAGATCTTGATTTGCATTATAGATCACAGGAGAGTGACTAAAAATTCACATAAGGCAGGTCAAAAGCATAATTTTGTGACTAGGGTTCCAGAATGTTGTAGGATTTGTTTCTACTGTAGCTCAGAATAAAAGTGGGAAAACACCCTAATTGCTGGAAGAACTTTAGTTATAAATCATGGGCGTCCAAACTTTTGTGTTGCCTGTGCTACAACTGAGTGAAGAGAAATTGTCTTGGGCTGCATATAAAATATATAGTCAGTATATATAAATCACATAATAATGTTAAAAGTTTACCATCTTGTGGGATTGCATTACAAGTCCAGAGCCGCATACAGCATGTGGGCCGAGGGTTGGACACGCTCGTTATAAATAATGGCTAGTTTTCTCTTGTTCTCTGTTCCTACATTTGCACAGCTGGAATCAGAGAATTACAGTACATATTTATTTAGAACATTATGCCACAACTGTTCAAATGTATTTCAAGAAAGTATGAACTTGGAAATTGTAATCCCAAGAATAAGTAATTTTTTTTCAAGCTGTAAAGTTACCAGCAGCTTCTAAGATTTTTTATAAGGAGGGAAGATCAACTGATTCTGCTTTGATATTTATGTGCATGAAAGAGCTGTTTGGCTGAAGACCAGAAAGGAAGAGAGGATAGGAAAATGGATTTCTCTTCAGGATACTGCAATGCTTTTTCAGAGTTGCTGAATTAGCACTTAGCAGTATTTATGTTTCAAATGCAAGAGTTTGCATCTTGCTGACAGATGTTTAATGCTCAGTAATCACAAAGGAAAGTTAGATGAAATGCCAGATGGGTCAAACCAGCATTTGTTAGTAGAAATCAATAAAAAATTTAACAATCATGTCTTTATATGTGTGTATAAATTTCCAGCTAACTATGATGAAAAATCAGCAGAATATTTGGAGAAGCACAGTTGGAGCTGTGTTTCTTGTTTCAGAGTTTTTTTCTTTGAATTATTCAGTCATTTTCAAACATTTTTGGTCAAATCAAATCACACTTGTGTCTCCAGATAAATTCTGCAAGGGATTGTGTTGTTACTCACATTCTCTAAAACAGAAGCTCACTGTGGAGAGGCAAAACAACCAATTTCTTGTATTTATTGAGACAAGTCATTTATGTTGCTCAATCACACTAACCTTCTATGTTCCCTCTTATTCTAAAGCTGATCTTGTACATTTATCCTCAGATTCATTCTGTGCAAGGCTTTGGCTGTATTGTTCTTGCTTACACCAGGAGAGAAGGCTGAAGTCAGTTCCAGGGTATTTTAGAAATTTCCCCAGCTGTGTAGCCTGATTCTTGAAATTAATCATTTTTGAAAAATGACAAAGTCTCTGTGGGGTTTTTTCCTTTATAAGTTCTCAGCACTCCTCTGGAGTTCTTGCAAAAGATTCTAGGTTTTCATTTTGGATACATACATATTTCTTGTCAATCTGAAGCAGAAGATGAGGGGAACAATGAGGATAATAACATTTCTGGGAGACAAAGCACCAGTGAAAAAACTAGAGATAATGACATTGTGTGGTCCTGAGCAAGGAATTCATCCAGTGCCTCAGGTGAAGCAGAGATTCCTCAGACTCACCTTTTCTCTGAGTGTTCTCCAGACATCATGAAGCTACAATTTACAGGATAATTAAGAATGATGGGTAATAATATAGCAATCTTCCCAAGCAATCATCTAGATACGAAGAAAGAAGATATTTTTCTGTGGGGTTTGGCTTCAGTAAAATTTACATTGTGAAATGTAAATAACCCCAAATTGCAATTTCCAGTTATCTTGTATAAAATTGTGTTCTTTGAGTTCTTGGCTCAGTTTTTAAAGTGCTAGCATGACATTGTGAAATGCTACACTTTGATTAGGTCAAGAATGTTAACTTTGGGGTTCCAGAGGCCATACTTATTAAATCGTTGTTTGGGAAGACTTAAGGCCATAGTGAGTCACATAGTGATGCAAAATTCAGGAAGCGGTGGTGGAACCATTGGCTGAAGGAGAAGTGGCCCCACCAGAGGGAGTAAGAGACTTTTCAGTTAGAGTCTGTTCAGGGGAGGAAGCATCTGAGATCAAACCCATAGTTCTCTGTCTGCCATTTACCAAGGGAAGGCAGACAATTGGTGAGATTCTTGTAATAAAGGTGTTCAACAATAAAATATCTGCTTGGGCATAACCATGAGTGGTTCTGATTGCTTCCACCTGACAATACCTTGTGCCTGATTTTTTCCCCCCTTCATTTCATTAAAATGAGTTAAACCTATCTTATGATTCATAAGAGAGTTTGTCTTTGTAATTCTTGCCCTACAGTGATTGAAACCATTTTGGTTTGTGGGGGCCACAAAGAACAGCTTTTGGTATTAAGTTAATCATTTTGGCTTAGGAAAATCAAAATTAAGATGCTTGAGCATCTTTTTTTCTCACTTATAGAACATAAATGGCTTTCCCTTCTCTGGTCCCTAAATCATGCTGAAGTGCTGAACAAATCAGCAGTTAAAACTATAAGTCACGATTGTGTCGCACTTTATAGGCTACATGAAGGAGAATATTCTTTCTTTTGTTTGCCTGCCATGTCGTGTACTTGCCATTATTTTCTGTAATATGAGACAGTCTACTTTTTGTACCCCCCTCTTCTAAGAAACCTTCCCCTCCACATTGCATGGGGAAAGATTGTTTGGCCTATGATATAGGAGAGACACACAAACCAAATGTGGCATTCCAGGGGTGGGGGTAAATGATAACACATATATCATGATATCCCAAAGATGCTTTTTCGTGAGGCAACTGGACTTTCTTGTTTTTCTCAGAGCTGAAGAAGCTTCTTGGATGAGAAGTGAAACATCTTCAAAGAAAAACAAGAAAATCCAGTTGCCTCATTAAAAAAGCATCTTTGGAACAACCATGACCTGGATGACTGAGAATCTCCATAGACATATCATGATATCATCTCCCAAATGTTCCAACTTATGAATTTGTATCCGATCTCATGACACAGATACAGTATATAATCACATCATTATTATGATCGTGTTGATGCTATCACTATTATGGTGGCTACTGATACAAAATTAATAGAGAAAACTTAATTAGACATAAGCAAATCTATCAGTTTCATTTCTTTTTGGTTACTTCTTATTAATCTGTCAATTTCAGCTTGTGTCAGTTCCTTGTTTTTACAAATATAAGAATTTCTATTGAATTTGAGATTTTTCTAAGGCTACACCAAAATGTTTGACTCCAAAACATGTACTCTTTTTCCCTAACATGTTTTCTTTTCTTTTATTGACTTTATTGTATATCTTTTTCTTCAAAAAGAAACTCTTTGAGTTCTTTTGGCTACTGGGCAGTTTAAACATTTGAACATTGTAATAAATAAATAAGTAGAAGTCAGCATGCTACTGGTATATGAAAATGCCTCTGATGGATGGAAGAACTGACAGTGAAGCAAATGTGCATTTAGTCTCCTAGGAAATGAAGTTGGGGCAATATGCTAGCTAGGCAGCAAAAAAAAAAAAAAAAAACTAATGGGTTAGGCTCAAATATGAAAGAGTTTTCTACTTTAAAAACAAACATTTTTCTACTTTAAAAACAAACCACTCCTAATAGTTCTGCAGGTGAAATCTTATGCAAGAATTCCAGTGATGGGTATCAGTATGAAGAGAAATGGCCATCTTATGTGGAAACATGTAAAATCAAAAAGAAGCTAGATGACGCTGGTTTTTCTTGATGCCCAGAAGGCATTTGATAATTTGAATTGGAATTTTATTATAACACAATTGTACTATATGGATTTTGGGACAAAATTTGGAAAGATGGTTGAGAAAATATATACTAAACAAACAGCTAGGGTAATTATAAATGAGGAAATGACAGAAAAAATTGATATAACCAAAGGAGTAAGACAAGGATGCCCACTTTCTCCTCTTCTATTTATTTTATAATTAGAAATACTTCTTACAAAAATCAGAGAGGACCAAGAAATAAAGGGTTTAAAAATTAAAAAGGAAGAATATAAGGTCCAGGCCTTCGCTGATGACTTGGTATTTATTTTGGAAGATCCATTAGAAACCGGCTTTAAATTGATTCAAAAAATAGAAGAATTTGGTGAGGTAGCCGGACTTAAGATTAATAGGAATAAATCCAAATTAATAACAAAAAATCTTACAAAGGCACAAGAAAGGGAATTGGAAGATAAAACAAAGATAAGTATAACCAAGAAAATAAAACACTTAGGGATCTGGCTTACAGCGAAATGCTCCTCGATTAAGGAGGACAATTATGATAAAATACTACACCAGTTAAAAAAAGATTTAGAAAATTGGGAAAATTTGCAAATTTCATTTTTAGGGAGGACCGCTACGGTCAAAATGAATGTATTGCCAAAAATATTATTTCTGTTCCAGGTTATTCCAATAAAATTAGGGAAAACATTCTTTCAAGAATTAAATAAATTGATCACTAAATTTATATGGCAAAGGAAAAAACCCAGGATTAAATTAAAACTCTTGCAAGACACGAAAGATAAAGGGGGATTGGCGTTACCAGAGTGGGAAATATACTACCAAGCATCAAGCTTAACTTGGCTAAAAGATTGGATGGATTTGAAAAATACTAGAGTCTTAACAATAGAAGGACATGATTTGCAAGCAGGGTGGCATGCATTCCTATGGGATGAAAAACATAAAATACACAGATATTTTCAAAGACACATAGTTAGGAATGCATTGCTACAGACTTGGGAAAAAATAAAACAAAAACATTATACAAGAATTCCAATGTGGTTATCCCCAACAGAAGCTTTGAAATACCCAAATCTATTGGATATAAATAAGATAATTAGATACAAGGAATTAGTAAATGAACAGGGAAATTTGAAAACAAAACAAGAATTGGAACAAGACATTGGCAGAGAGATTGATTGGTGGACATTTACACAAATTCGATCTAAATATACAGAGGACAAAAAATTATATGAAATTCAAAAAGAGCCGCAAGAATTGGATAAAATTATACATGGAACAGAAATAAAATTAATTAGCAATTTATATAAATACCTATTGAGATATTAAATGGAAGACGAGGTTGTCAAAGACACGATGATTAGATGGGCAAAAAAATTCAGATATAATATAGAATTGGAGAAATGGGAAAAAATATGCGAAATAAATATAAAATTGACTATGTCAGCGGCATTCAAGGAAAACCAGTTGAAAATGTTTTATAGATGGCATCTTCCACCTGCAAAGCTTGCCAAGATGTTCCAGAATAACTCGCCAACATGTTGGAAATGTAAAAAAGTACATGGAACATATTATCATCTATGGTGGACATGCCCAGTTGCAAAAAAATACTGGTCTACAATAAGAAAATGGATCCAAGAAATAATAGACCAACCTGTAGACTGGAAACCAGAGATCTTTTTGTTGGGTATTTTAAATAGAAAATATAGTAAAGAAATATGGTACTTAATTTTACATATAATAACGGCGGCAAGAATAGCATATGCACAGTGCTGGAAAAATGAGAATATACCATCAGAGGAAGAAGTAATAAGAAAAAATCCTGGACTGTGCTGAGATGGACAAATTAACAAAAGAGATAAAAGAAAAGGAAGACACAGAGTATTATATAGTATGGAACAAGGTGTATGTCTGGTTGGAGACTAGAAATAATAGAGGAGAATAAATATGGAAAGGTCAAAAGTGAAAATATGTGTACACATGAAGGAAGAAAAATGTAAATAAGAAATAATGGGGCTATAAGGACAAATATTTAAAGAAGAATAAGGGGAAATGTAAATATTAGATTACCGTTACGTAATTGCTGTAAAAAAAAGGAGGTATATATTGTGTGTGTATGTGTGTTATGTGTTGCTTTGTTCTGTTTTGTCTTGTTGGTTAAAAATAAAAAAAATTAAAAAAAAGAAGCTAGATGTTCTATCTAGCCATAAAATGCTAATTGTAAAATACCAAGTAATTTCTGAGCAGTCAAAGAAATACTAAATCATCTAAGTTTAAAAAAAATTAAGGGAAAGCATTTTTCTTTTTATTCTCACATTTGATTCTTTTTTTTTCATGGAATATTTTCCTTCTGCAAATAAGCAGAACGGGCCAAATATAAAGCTTAAAGCTTTTTTTTTTTTAATCATTTATTTAAACCAGCCCAGGTTTGAAAGAAAACTCAAAAATCAACTAGTGCAATCTTCACCAAAACAAAAAGCATTGTAACAAGAACTCTGGCAGGAAGGCAGCCAGCCTCTGCTGAAAAAAATCTCTTACAATTTTCACTTCCACTTCCATCAGGACGATCTTCCTAATATTTGCCCTACTGGTTTGTACCTTACCCTGCAAAATAATAATTCTTTTATCAGCTGCCTCCTAGGCTTCCATACACTTAACATAGTTATCCTATCACCTCTGGAAGATACATTCTCTAGCATAAGCATCTACGTTTCTCCTAAGCTTTGATCTCTAAGTCTTCATCATTGTTGCTGCGTTTTTGTAGACATGGTCTTCATCAAACATGACATATCTTGGAGTATTCTGAATCTGTAAGCCATGTCACCTCAGTTTAAACCAAATAAGTAGCATACTTCCTCATCCCTCAAATCTCAATGTTTTTACAACCGCATATTTATTCAGACCTTGCATTTTGATGGCTCATATAAATAGGCTTTAGAAAAAACATTGTGGGGGACTGCATCCCATCTCTTTTGAGTGTCAGTAGGTTGCTGTCCCTGAGCCTTAAGATAGTATACAGTATAAATCTATATAAATGAACAAAATGCCACACAGTGAGGATTCACTGACCTTCAGCCCGCTGAGAGCTCAATTCATTCTTAGATTAATTATGTACTGCCTTATTGCATGACTCAGGCTTGTCTTGCTTCAAGTTGCAAATTTTTGTTCCTTCTGGTGCACATTCATTCCTTATCCCTTGAATTTCTCCAAAGGAAGTCTTGTTTTCCTCCCCGTGTGCAAGGCAGGCTGTACTATTCTTTTCTGTCCCAACAGCTACCTGCTTCTTGAGGCTTCCAATATGGATTTCTTCTGTTTGTCTTATTATTGACAATTCCTGGCCCCTGCTACCTGTTTCCATCACATCTGGCAGCTTGATAAAGTTGTCAGGACAATCCTCCTCCGGGTGCCTTTCAGAACATGTGTTTTTATCTAAGCAATTTTCATGGAGTTCTTGAATTACGTCCCTAGAAGCCTTCACTCTGGATATTTCCTGGCAGCTATTCTTATAGTTAGTCTTAGGAGACAAATCAGGTCCGGATATTGCCTTTTTGAGTTTGAGATTTACCTCAGTCTCATCTCTACTGACATCTTGGATAAGGCCCCTTCTGGTTTTTTCATTTGGGCTTTGGGCTTCCCTTGAACCTGAGTCCATTTCATTTCTTTTGGTCTGTGCCACGGGGATATTAGATTCTTTTAGCTTTATATAATTCTCTAGTCCAGGTAGGCAATGGTGCTCTTTCCCTTCTTCGCTGACCAGAGTTAGATTCTTTTGTTCTTCCATGTTAATTGATCGCTAAAATGACAGGAGAAAAAATAAATAACTTAATTAAATCTTATTGTGCTGTTCATTTAAAGCAGTGGTTCTCAACCTTTTTAATGCCGCGACCCCCCCAACCGGTCGTAAGTCAAGGACTACTCAACTGGTCGTAAGTCAAGGACTACTCAACTGGTGCAGCACTGTTTGCAGAATGGGACTTTTGGCGGGCTCAGCAGGGCAGAGACAGCCTGGACAATTCCTATTGGCTTTTGAAAGCCAATAGAATTAGACTCTATTCAAGAGAGTCTATTCTATTGGCTTTCAAAAGCCAATAGAATAAAAGGGAGTAGCACAGCTAAGGAAAAGGGGAAAAAATGGCGGACTGCGTTGTTTGGCGACCCCCGTGAAATGGTCGTTTGACCCCAAATGGGGTCCCAACCCACAGGTTGAGAACCACTGATTTAAAGAAACAAGTGACCCACTCAAAACTATTGCTGTCAGCTGTAATTATCTACCGGAAGTGAAGTTCACCTTTATTACTGGTGTGGAAAACTCAAGTAGAGCAACCAAATTTCCTTATATCAAAGTGCAAGTGATGATCAATATCTTATTGACACTCCTTATTCTCCAACACAGTGTGCTTAATAATTTATCCGGAAATTTTATTTTTAAAATTCATTTAGAAATAAAAATAAATATAGCTGCCCATCTTAAGCACATAACTGGATGGTGAACAATACATATGAGAACAGTAATGATTGTGCATTCAAAGCAACTTACCTCAAAATGCATATGAGGAATTAACTAACATGGTTTAATCATCTCTTCACATCAGCTGCGATTGCTGGCACTATTCCGTAGCACTATGGCAGAGTAGACACTGGTGTCCAATGACTTCACCAGTTACAATAGATGTGATCAAGTTATTTAGAAAGAACTATAATATTACTTGTTTTTACCTACCACTTTTTCTGATCCACTGGGTCAGATAGCTGTGGCAGCAAATTTCCCTAGTTTGCCATCACCTCCCCAATTGCAAAAATGGCAATAATTTCCCTTGCTTTAATGACTTAATTTGCTTCACTGTGCTCTATATGAAGCTTGATTAGAGTCCAGACATTTTCATTTTTTGCAAAATACAACTGCTAGGCTGCTATAACTGCTATATGAATTCAGAACCAGGTTACACACATTTATCTGCCCTGCTTTCTGGGCCCTATTTTAGAAGTTGTTTTTATTCTTAAAACAATACACAGTTTAAAACCTAACTGCCTAAGCAATTGCCTTGACACATTAAAGTCCAGATGTTAAGGTTAGCAGGAATCTTAAAGCAGTCTTCATTTTTAAGATCTGTTTTTAAGACAGAGAGAGAGAGAGAGAGATCTTCTACTGTGTTGCTTTCAAACTGTGAAATTCCCTGGGGACTTTCCAATTTTACTGGGGCTTTTTAGATTGATATAATATGTATGACTTTATCCATTTTTAATAATGTGTAATATGTGCTTTATTTTTACTTACTAGTATTTTATTACCTGCCTTGTGGCTAAAAAAGCAGATGTAATTAATTATAATAGCAGCAGCAGAAATAGCCATCCTGCAATTCCTTTTTTAAATAGCAATTTTATTTTAAAAATTCACTTACGAAAAAACTAATGCAAACTAAAAAAAGAAGGGGAAAAAAAAGAAAAAGTAGAAAGTGCCAAAAGAAAGGGAAAATAGAAAAGAAAAAATAAGAATATAGTGAAGAAAAAGAAAAAATATATAAAGAAATTACTTCATTCTTCATCATAACCAGCACAATCATTGCTTCTATGAAAGAAATAGAGAAATAAAGATGGCTCAACTAAAAGTGAACCTGACAACTGGGGTGAAATGAAGAGCTGGTGAGTAAAAGAGCTTCTCTCTGGACAAAAGGAGGACTTGAGATCACCCACAAGACTCCAGACAGGAGCTTCTTGTGAGGAGACCACAAGGCAGCAGTCTCCAGCAGGTTTAAAGCTATGGGAGACAAGGGAATAAACACTGGGTTTGCATACTTCCTTTTCTAATCACTTTCTGAAGTAACTTGTTGGCTCTTTTCAGCTATTGGAAACTTTTGGATCAACAAATCTGAAAATACCAAATGAATTTCCTTCAATCCATAATGATGGTTTTAAATACTAGTTTTAAATATATATTTTTTAAAAAAAAAAAAAAATTGGGATAAACTGCAAAAGGATGATTAGAAGGTTTTGGAAAGTTACAAATGGACTAAGAGTCGAGGTGGATTTGAAATAAGATTTTGAAATTAATTAAAAATCGTTCCCATGGGAAGATGCTTTTGAATTCTTTTTAAAAACAGGATAGGATGGGACTTTGATGGGTGGACACTGGAGGGAACTAAAAAAAATTTTTTTTTACACTTTCTTTACACACAAAAAAAAGATTAGATTACACGAAAAAGGTGATGAACACCTGAAAGATATTTTTGAACAGTGGACCCAGAAGTTAATTTTAATTTTAAGAGAGTCTTCCTTTCAAGCAGGGATGTCAAACTGCCAGCCAGATGCATCATGGTGAAACAGCACCCACAAAACCGCAAAAAAAGTCATGATACATCGCAACATGTGACATGACGTTGTGAGTTTGACACCCCTGCCGTAAAGAGTCTGTCTAAAACAGGGGTAGTCAACCTTGGCTCTTTTATGACTCGTGGACTTCAACTCCCAGAATTCCTGAGCCAGCTTGCTCAGGAATTCTGGGAGTTGAAGTCCACGAGTCATAAAAGAGCCAAGGTTGACTACCCCTGGTCTAAAAGATGTTATAGAAGAGGAACAAGTTTTATCAGACAAGTCTGTGACTGATTTATTTCCATACCAGTCCTGACATTCCGTAGTGTTCTGTTTTCATTCATTCATTTCATTATTCATTCCATTTATATGCCAACTTTAAGCCAAAAAACCCATGTTGTATTGTTCCACCTATCCAATATATTTCCACAAAAATATTGGGATGAAGAAACAATGTGATTGTGTCAATCAAAATATGAACCCAGACATGAAACCAAGATTTATGGTTTAGCATTATGGGCTGTTCAAACAAAAAAAGAAAAGAATGAATGCTAATATGAATCTTCACAAAATATGCATTTGCTAATATACCTCCATGTATGTTTGGAAATATTTTTATAATTTAAATTGAAATCTAATGCATCGTACCTTAGTGACTAAGACCAGGACCAAGTAACCTTATGATTGCTGATTTTATTGACAAAAATCTCAAAGTCCCAGCAACTATCTTTATCCTGGATTTTGCTTAGACAACCTTTAAGATACGTTTTCTTGAATGGAGTCATACTACAGTAAGATTTGGCATCTTAGGTTCATAACCTGTTGGTTTAATTACATTACGAATGATTCCAGATACTCCAGTTTATTCAACATAATATAGCTCAAAACAAACCATGCCATAGCTATGAATTCAGTTCAGGGATTATATTGTCTGTTTCTATATCTGGGCAAATATTTCATTAACTCACTTGATCATCAAGTTCATCTTTTAAAAAGGGCATTTCATCACCTTCCTTAATGTCCCATCTGTAAAAGAGCAAAAAAAAAAGAGGGGGAACTGTTCAGTTTTCACAAAGTAACATTCTGGTCTTTACTGGAAGATTTTGCTTATCCTAAATCAGGGGTCTTCAAACTTGGCAACTTTAAGACTTGTGGACTTCAACTCCCAGAATTCCTCAGCCAGTCCAGGGCTGGCTAGGAATTCTGTGAGTTGAAGTCCACAAGTCTTAAAGTTGCCAAGTTTGAAGACCCCTGTCCTAAATGGATTGTCCCTAAATAAAAGAATGTCAATTATAACATAGCTGAAACCTTGCAAGTTGACTCTCTTTACATGGTTTAGCAATCCTCCAATCACCTACATACAAGGCATCACTTTGCCTTCACTTTATCATGATTGATAAAGAAGTCGAAATAATAGGATAGAAACACTGGGGTAGATCACCCTGGTAGGAGAATAATGACAATTTTATTTTAAAAAAATATTAAAATTATATGCCACTCATCTTACATTGGCAAGTGACTCTGGGCAGCTCCTATTTACCTATTTAATTAGGTAAAATCGACTATTCATATTTAAGAACATGAACCTGTAACTGTCCAGAACAAAAACAGATCAGCTGAATTCCTTTTAACATTTGGTTTCAAACTGACTGAATTAGAAACTCTCTTACACAAATATTATATAGTTCTATATACATATGTGTGTGCTTATGTGTGTGTGCATATATACACATGCACACACACACATACACATGAACATAGACACACACATCAAGATTAAGTCATAGTAAATCTGTGAATTATAAGATTTGAAATCTAACATCTGGAATAAATCAAGCTGGTAATAGCTACTGAATATATATTTAAACCAGTTGTGCACGGACTAAAAAACTGAATCAATAATTGTTTATATTAAATGAAAAAAGCTTGAGCAAACATCGTCTAGCGCAAATATTATTTATTATTTATTGACTAGATAACTGTATATCCCACCATCCTATGCCCTCTGCATTTGCACTGTAAGATTTAGAGAAACATTGTTTTCAAAAAATGAAACAAATCCAGCATAAACAAAGCACATCTTTTCCTGAGATTGTGCAGAAACCAGATGAACAATCCTGGGGGGGGGGGAGGGGAATGAGCTTTTTGAAGGATTTTCAGTCAGTATTGTGGAATGCCCTACATGATCCAAGGCACTTTTTTGTTTTTGCTTCAAAGTCCTGCAGAGTCTGACTATGACATTCAACTGAGGCTGCAGCAGAAGAGATGCTGAAACTGTTCGTAAACCTCTCTCACCTCAGACTGCCAGTCAGTTATTATTTGCATTTAAAGTCTGGAGGGGGCACTTTCATCATTGCATGTGTTCTTTCAGTGAGCAACTTCTTAAAATGCCAGATAACTTATGAACGCACAAAAAGAGAAATTAATCACTGTAAGCTTCCACATGCAAAGAGGGTAATAATACCTGCTGCTCAAAATAAAAACCTTTATACTACAGTCTAAAAGCATAAGGAAAAGGAGTAAATGAACACTTAAATATAAGGACCCTTTCTTCTTCCTCAAATTGTCTTCTGTGGTTTGTCTTCCTCACTGCAGATCTTAGAAAGCAGAGAATAGGCAGGGAACACCGCGTGCCAATCAATACCTCCCAACATCTGATCAATAGGGAAGTGCAAACACCGTCATTCAATGAATTGGGTTGCCCAAGTGACTGCAAATCCTGGAGTAATACAATTCATCTCATAGGGAATGGAAGGGAAGGGAAGGAATTGTTAGCACCCTTTCCATATTTCTAAAATATACTGCATGCATTTGCCTATAGAAATATCAGAGCTATTGATAAAATGTCAGAGGTGCCTCTATTGCTAATGAAAGGATAGCATGACAACAATGCCTTTTCTAATAGTTGTAACCATGGCTGCACATTGCTAGAATGAAGGGAAGTGAAATATATATGCTAAACAATGCTTACAAGCAAGGCCTATGAACAGAATGAAGGCTGCCTGTGAAGGGAATGTAGAAAAGCCAACTGTCCAGGAACTACAAACATGTCAGAGCTCATGCCAAAGCAAGGAGAGGATTAAAGCTAGAAAACCTCCCCACCTACATGTCACAACAACAGCAACAAAAGATGCAGCAGCTGGGTGAACTCTTACCAGTGTTATCTCCTCTCCCTTTTCTTGGAGTATTGCAATAGGAAGGAGGCATTTGCAGACTCGGACCAGCTAAATCCTCTTTTAAAGTTCTAAAGTGGAATTTAAGAACCTCTAATTTCCAGAAGCTCATCTGTATTCATTAACCTTAAGCTGGCTGCAAGTACTATAGTATAGTTTTTTTCCAGATTTCAGTCATCTGATTTACCTCATGCATTAGGATTATGCTAACTGGGTTGCAAAAATCTCAATCACAGATGGCCGCATGGAGTTAGACTGACTGTCCTGTTTCTTTGTTGCCACGTATGGGTAGTTCAGATTTTTGCAACCCAGATATCATAACCAAACTGAAGAAGAGGAAAGTGATACAGAACATTTTCCGTTACACACGTGTCGATATATAGCGAGACAAAATTGGCAACTGAATTCACACTTCTTGTCCTGGCAGATAACCGTCAATAATGGTTATTTATTAATAGTCAACTATGTTTCCACTTAAGTAGTACATAAGATTACAAACTAGAAAGAGTAAAACCTCAATTTAACAGACCCTTCAGGAGAAACAGGTATTCATTAAAACCAAGTGTCTGTTAAATCCAAAGTTTCCCTCTCCTCAGTGGTATCTATAGAAGGTGGTTAGGTGGTTAGGTGACTAAAGCAACATTGAAGCAGCCCAGCTGGGCAGCTTCTACATTCAAACAAACAAACAAACAAATAAACAAATAAATATTGCATTGTGAACCCACATAAAAAGAGCAGAGTGGTACAATGTGTTCTGACAAATGCAGTGAGATCTCAAAGTGGCCACTTCTTTGCTTCTTTTTCCCTTCCCTTCAAAGGGTGATTTGTCTCAGCGTCAGCCCCTAGGAATTGTGGAAAAAACCTTTTTTCTTCAAATGCTACCAGGAATAAAAATCTTGTGGGAAGTCAGCCCCCCACCCCCAGAGAAGGAAATATTAAAAGGGCAGAAAAATATATTTTCTCAAAGGATCTTAAAGAGACAGAAAAGCATGCCCAGTTTTTTCTTAATAGCCACAAGTCTGCCTCCCCCAAGCAGAAACCAGCTCTGTACAAATGCAGATGTAAACCCTCAGGAAAGTTGGAGCTAGGAGATTAGGAAGACAAAGACCTAAAATCTGCATACCCCACCTGAGGCAGAACATGGTAAGATTAACTCACAAAGGCCAAAAGGCACACCCAAACTCAGGTCAGAATACATGACACAGGAAATAACCAAACAAAAGGCACCAAAGGGTATAAAAAACCTACTTCCTACATGTGCTCAGTCCTTTTCTCTCATCTTTGCTGCCAGAACCATCTTCCTGTCCGGCTCTCCTCTCCAATAAACTACAACCTTCTTCCCAAAGCAGTTGCCATGTTTATTCCCATCTTGGATGAACCAGGATGAAGACTTTTCTTCCAACATATTCTTCCCAGCACCTTCCAAGCCTCCCTTCTTGACCCTGGCCAGTGCTGTCACCTAGTTTGCCTCCAACTTGCCTCCTCTTGCCAAGAACTCAAACATGAAGAGAATGCAGAAGCGTATCCAGTTTTTAGGGGAAGCACTGACTACTATCTTGACTGCTTTCCCCAATAGTAGACACATGATTGCTTCCAGAAAAGCTACCTGGATGAAAATTCTGTCCATTGTAGCCAAAGTTCACTAAACTGAAATCGATTAAAGCAAGGTTTTAGTAAATATAAAATCTACTTGATTTAAAGCAGTAGAAAGTAGCACAAAATCCTACGAAGTCCTACTGTGAAATCCACTTTAGACTGCATTCATTCAAGCAGCAGAAGAGGTGCTGTTTGGGTGTGTTATATTCTCTCCTATTCAAAATCTTAAAAGGCGATGCAGTAAAAGTGCTACACTCAATTTGCCAGCAAATTTGGAAAACTCAACAGTGGCCACAGGATTGGAAAAGGTCAGTTTACATTCCAATTCCAAAGAAAGGCAATGCCAAAGAATGTTCAAACTATCGCACCATTGCACTCATTTCACATGCTAGTAAAGTTATGCTTAAAATCCTACAAGCTAGACTCCAGCAGTATGTTCATCGAGAACTACCAGAAGTACAGGCAGGATTTCGAAGAGGCAGAGGATCTAGAGATCAAATTGCCAACTTACGCTGGATCGTGGAGAAAGCTAGGGAGTTCCAGAAAAACATCTACTTCTGCTTCATTGACTATGCAAAAGCCTTTGATTATGTGGATCACAACAAATTGTGGCAAGTTCTTAAAGAGATGGGAGTACCAGACCATCTCATTTGTCTCTTGAGAAACCTATATGCTGGTCAAGAAGCAACAGTGAGAACTGGACATGGAACTACTGATTGGTTCAAAATTGGAAAAAGAGTCCGGCAAGGCTGTATACTGTCGCCCTGCCTATTTAACTTATATGCAGAGCACATCATGAGAAAGGCAGGGCTAGATGAAACAAAAGTTGGAATTAAGATTGCCGGGAGAAATATCAACAACCTAAGATATGCAGATGATACCACTCTGATGGCAGAAAGTGAAGAGGAACTAAAGAGCCTCTTGATGCGGGTGAAGGAGGAGAGTGCAAAAGTTGGCTTGAAACTCAACATTAAGAAAACCAAAATCATGGCCTCCGGCCCTCTCAATTCCTGGCAAATAGATGGGGAAGAAATGGAGGTAGTGACAGATTTTATTTTTCTGGGCTCCAAGATCACCTCAGATGGGGACTGCAGCCAAGAAATTAAAAGACGCTTGCTCTTGGGGAGGAAAGCTATGGCAAATTTAGACAGCATACTAAAAAGCAGAGACATCACCCTGCCAACAAAAGTGCGTATAGTCCAGGCCATGGTTTTCCCAGTTGCAATGTATGGCTGTGAAAGTTGGACCATAAGAAAG